AGAACAAAATAAATGAGAATCAAAGGGGATAATGTGCTTCAGAAGAAGAAGGATTTTAAGAATGCCCAGTGCTATAACTATAAGAAATTTGAGCACATTGTGAAATACTACAAAGCAACACCCAAGATTACCAATCCTAAGGGCATTAGGGAGCATGCTTGTGTGGTCCTTGAGACCATGCTAGCTGAACCTAAAGTAAGGTCATGGTGTTTTGACTCAAGGTCCATTGCGCCCATGTGTCTAACACCAAGGATGGGTATAGAAATTTCAAGCCCGTTGCACCTGGGGATCAATATATATATATATGGGTGGAAATCAAAAGACTGAAATTCTGAGTGTTGGAGATATCGTCCTTCAACTTGAGAATGGCAAAAGCATGGTCCTAAAGCAAATTCTTTATGCTCCTTTGATGAGCAAGAGTTTGGTTTCGGTCTCTCAATTGGCTAAGGCAGGCTACTCTACCAGTTTTACTGGTAATATGGTGGAGGTGAAATATGGAGATGAATTAGTCATGAATGGTCATCGTACATGGTTTCTTTTCAGTTGCAATAAAGAATTCCATTTCTTATGTCTCGTGTTATAATGATAACAATGATGATGCGTACATATGGCACATGAGATTAGGGCACATAAATCCTAAAAGAATGGAGAGATTAAAGAAAGAGGGATTATTAAGTGATCAATATGGAGACTTAACTAGAGTCTGTGAATCATGTGTTCTAGGAAGGCTGGTTAAGAAATCCTTTGCAAAAGCTCAGAGAGCTACTGGCATATTATAGGTTGTCCATAGTGATATTTGTGGACCTATGAATGTGGTCATTAAGAGCGGCTAGAGGTACAGTATCACATTTATCACATTTATAGACTCTCACTCCCTTTTTGGTCATGTCTATTTGTTAAGTGAAAAGTTTGAAGCCCTAGACTGGTTTAAAGAGTATAAAGCCGAGGTAGAAACTAAACAAACCAGAAAATTAAAGTCCTTATATTTGATAGGGATGGAAAATATTCCTCATGACTATTTAAAATTATGTACTAAGCTTGGTTTTATACATCAATATACTATGTTGTACACTCCTTAGCAGATTGGGGTAGCTAAGAGACGGAATAGGACCCTAATGGAAATGGTGAGGAGCATTCCAAGGAACACTCCTTGGAAACTTATCAGGGCCAAGAGCTGTCTTTTGCTAGGTCATCCAAAGCTTCAAGGATTTCATCTTCTAGGAATGGGCGTTTTAGCCATGAAGCATGTTCTTTTGATAAGGTAAAAAACACTAAGTTAGCCATGGCTGGTCTTGGGCCACTTGGAGCAGAGTAAAGGTTCTAGAAAAAGGAGAGGATAACTGAATCGATTTCTGTCGGCTGGTCCAGATAATGATTATTGACTTTAATGGTCGAGATTGAATTATCCCTCCTGCAATAGTTTGCAATTCTGTGGAAGAATCGAGTGTTATGGTCCCCTACTTTGAGCCAATTGACTCTTGATCTTTGGAGCCAGTAAAGCTCTTCTTTTTTGAGAGTAAAGAGGTAGTTGAGTTTGGTTTGGGTTTTGAGGTCAGCTTCAGTGGTAGTCAGAGGGCGAGACTCTTCAAGGCAATCTAGTTCTTGTATGGACTTAAGGAGATCGGACTTAGTTTGAGAATAGTTGCTAGGGATGAACCGACTCCAGAATTTGAGAGAAGCTTTTAAAAGTTGAAGCTTTGATTGGAGTCTGAAACCAGCTCTTCCATTCACCTGGCTAGAGAAAGAATTCCACCAGATGGGGATAAAGGATGGTAGGGATTTTTCTTCGAGCCAAGCCAGTTCGAATTTGAAAGGTTTAGGGCCTTTATTCAAGGCTATGGTGGAAAGGAGGATGGGGCACTGGTCTGAAATAGGTTTAGGCAAAGCAATGGCGTGTGATCTCGAAAAGCTTTCCTCCCACTCTAAGGCTAAGAGAAACTAGTCAAATTTGCAAAGGGTAGGTTGGGTGGAATGATTGGACCAGGTGAAACGGTTACCTTAAAGAGAAATATGAAGAAGGTCATTTCTAAAAATGAAGTCGAAGAACTGTGACATCCCCTGAGATGTAAGGGAGGTAGAGTTTAATTCATGGGACCAACGGGTGATGTTGAAGTCTCCACCCAAGCACCAAATTGGGTGGGGTAGGGAGACCACAAAATCCAGTACGGACCAAAGACGAGGTCGAATGGAAGAAGAGCAGGGGCCACAAATGGCCAAGAATTTCCATTCAAGACTGTCCAAAAAACGAGACAGTAGAATGATTATAGAGAATTCCCCTACATGTGAGGATATTAGAAGATGCTCTGTGGGGTCCTAGATCACCCAAATTCCCCCTGAGGCTCCTTCCGCGGGTAGGAGTACCCACTAACAAGGCCTCCTACCCCATACCTGTCGAATGAGGAAGAGAGAGGACTCGGGTGATTTGGTTTCACTGTTTCAATAAGTGCGAGAATAGTGGGGCAGTGTTTCGATGTGAGGTCCTTAACAGCCTTCCTTTTGGATGGATGACCCAAACCTCTGATATTCCAGGTGATGATCTTCATGTTTTAGGAGATGGGGAAGAGAAAGAGGCTAATCGAGCTGATCGCCTCAAAGAGAGGGGGGAGGAGGAGGTAGGGACACCTACAGAAGTGGAGGGGGGGCCTCGAAAGAGAGAGAAGAAAATAAGATCAGTAGTTCCCTTTGTCCTTTGAACCCCACCTTCTGTCAACTCTGTGCATCTGCGAGCATGAAGCGATGGGCTGGTCCTTCTGGACCGTTGTACTGAAAACCCATTATGCGATACATCTCCTTCATCCTTTCGAGATCACGGTCGTGCCCTTTCTCGTCGACCCCCTCGTTGTTGACCCTTGTTGAGGGGGGAGAGATGGGCGTTCCAGGGTGTTCCATATCGCGGTCTTGCCCATCCCCGTTGACCCCCTCGTTGGTGGTTCTTAGCGAGGGAGGAGAGATGGGCGTTCCTTGGTCTTCCAACGAGTCTGACACCAAGGGATATAGATCATGGGGAAGGGTGGGGAGTGAGGCAGATGGAATAGTAGCAGAGCAGAAAGAGGTGGGGGAAGGGCAGGGGGGTACAATGAAAGGGGTGGGCTGTGGCAAAAGAGGGTGAGAAAGGGTGGTGGGGGAAAGTGGCTCAAAAGGCAAAGATAGGGAGTCCTAGTCCCCAGTGAGAAGTGGGGAAGAGGAAGAGGTAGCACCGGGGGAGGGCTAAAGAAAGGTAGGAAGGGTGGGAGTGAGAAAAGGAGGATAGGGAGGAACCAAGTCGGTGTAAAAGTGGGAGATGGAGATAGAGTGGTGGGAAAAATAGAGGGGCCCAAAGAAGTGGTGCGAGGAATGGACGCTGTTAATCCTGATAAGGTAAGGGGTCAAGGCTAAGGGAGATGTCAAAAAGGGGTTAGGAGAGGCCGGATCAGAGGAGGAGGCAGGGTACAAGGGGGGAGAGGAGCTATCTATGGGTGGAGCGAGTAGACCCAAAAGGGGAGGTGGGAGGGGGACGAGAGGAGGGAGACCTTGGGGTCAACTGAGAGCAGCGTCGGGGGGGACAGTGGTTACAAGACGGAGATCGGGGTTGGGTGAAGGAGGGGGGAGAAAGAAAGAGAGAGGAGAGGACGACGAGGCCGGGAGGAGAGTGAAGGAGGGGAGGGGGAACAGAAGGAGAATGCAAATAAGAAGACGAGGCAGGGGAAGAAGGAGAGGGGACCAAGTGCCATGATGGCGACTGGAGTCGGTGGCCGGGAGGATGCCACGCGATATCCATGGAGACACAGGGGAGAGGAATGGGGGAAGAGCAGTGGGGCTCGAGGCAAGATGCCATGTCGCACGGATGGAGAGAGAGGACAGAGGAATTAAAGGCTGAGTGGGAGGTGGGCGACGACGTGGCGTACAATGGGGGGGCAAGGTCACCACCAGAAGGGGACGTGGCAGTCAATGGGACCTCCCTCTGACTCAGCGGTTAACATTCTTTCTTTTTATATATATACTTTTAGGAATTTATTTTGGAGAAATTGCTTATTGGAAATGGCATGTATGAAATCCAGTAAGAGTTGAGTTTTTTACAATAGTTTTAGTGAGAGAGGATATACCTAATAGAATCCTTTTTTACAATTGGGAGAAAAAATGTTTTCTTAGTCCTCACTATAATCTTGATTGCATTTTTCTCAACCCATCATTGCTTCAGTTGCCCCATGATCCGCTTGATATCTGATCTGCTTACACGGACCTGTTCATCTTTGCATGAGATTCATCTCATAAAGATTGTTTTGAGGGGGGAGGGGTAATTTGTTGGCAGCGCTTTTTGCCATTTATTTTTTGAAATTTAGCTCTTGAAAACAATCCCTTTCTCTTTGATGGAGCAGATTTTGTGACAAAAAGTTTTATGTTCCATGAAAAACCAAGCACAAAATGGTTTACGAGATTCAGTGGAAGGAAAAGTTGAAAATGAAGTTCATTCAAGGGGCCTTTGTGAAGAAGATGATGAAGGTTTTTATGTTCTAATCAGTGGATCTTGTGGCTGCATGCCTACACTACCTTTCCCCAAATGCATCTTTAATTTAATGTTGGGATCTTCAACTTAAAGACTTTCCTTGTGGTTCATGAGGAAATAGAGAGAACTTCAATGATGCTGATTCTTTGACTGGGAACAACTATTTTTGCACCAGGAGAAAGAATCATGGGGGTGACAATGTACCGTTCTTCCATGAAATAGTGATTGAGTGCATTATCTGCATTTTGATTTGCTAGTGGCTTGCCCCTTGTGTACATTATTTGTTCTGTGCTTTGGTCTTTTCTGAAGACAGATTGCAATATTATATGCTTGCTTTATTTATTTTGCTTGTATGTTATTGGTCCTTAAATCATTTGGGGTCAGGTTACCCTGGACTATCATTGGAAGTGTTATAATTGTATATTATATAATCGTATATTATTTCTTACTTTATTTGATTCCCTTAATGTACTCATATTTTACATGTTTTAATGCTAATTGTTCTTTCCTTTGTTAGGAGGTTGACATTGATTCTCACTTCAAAGCATATAGGTCTTCAACACGACGTTCTCTTGATGCCTGGTCGCCTAGTCAACTTGATTTAAGCCTTGTAAGTAATGATTTTCTTTGCAGGGCATCAGTGTAGTACATCATTCTTGCCAAGGCATCTGTGCAGCATGATATTGATATAATTATCTTGCTTCCATTGTACTTAGTGACCTTATTTCATTCTCTCATGTGTTATTAATAGTTTCATCTATTAGAAGATAAACCCAGTATTGTATGAAAACTGATGGTGAAAATGGTCAATTAAGATTTATCTCAAATTTTGGCTTAGAATTGTCCACTGAAGCATCCTTATCACTCTCTTTATAGCTCAGTACTTGAACTATAAAGATGAGTTTCATCTCTAAATGGAGGAAATGGGTGTCTTCATGTGTCTTCTGGCTCTTTCTCTATTCTCATCAATGGCTCTGCTAAAGGGCACTTCTCAGTGACTCGTGGTCTCAGCTAAGGAGACCCTATCCCACTGTTTCTTTTTGCCATTGTTGCTGAAGTCTTCAGCAGGTCTCTCTCTTGGCTCTGTAATTGTAGGTTCCTCTCGGATTTTAAGCCCTTGAGGAGATTTGTCACCTCCAATATGTAGGTGACTGACGCACTCCTTGGTGTTCTGTGATGCCTCTGTGACTGAAGTCGATAGCTTTTGTCTTTTCCTTAGGATCTTTGAAGTGACCACGAGCTTTAAAATCATGGCCCCATCCAAGCTTATGGGGGTAGCTGTTGGCAACAATGACCTTGAAGCTTTTTCTTTGAGGTTAGGGTGTGGCACCCACAGCTTGCCCTCCAAGTATCTCGGTCTCCCTTTGTGGTTTGTGAAACCCAATTAAAGTCTTCGGGATCCTGGGGTAGAGAAATTCACGAGATGACTGTCCTTATGGAAAGTTAGATTCTTCTCCCTTGGGATTGAATTGCCCTCCTTAAAGCTATGTTGCCTAACATCCGGATTTACATTACATCCCTTTTCATGATGCCCATGAGTGTTATCAACTCTTCAGAGAGATTCATGAGATTCTTTCTTTCATCCGGTGAAGCTTCTGAGCCTAAATTCCAACTTGTGGCTTGCAAGAAGATTTGTCAGCCTATACACTAAGGAGGGTTAGGTATTCAGAGATTTGAGTTCCATGAACCTGGCCCTTGGGCAAATGGTGGTGACAACTCCCTACTGAGCATGACCTCCTCTGTCTATAGGTCCTTCTCCACAAGTACAGGAATTAATATTTTTTGTTGGTTCTCCAACAGTAGATCCAATGCTAATTCCTCTGATACCTATGAAGTATCTATGCCTCTAGAGATAGGTCGATGTCCTTTATCAGATTCAATGCCAACTGTGGTGACAAAGTCTCTTCTTGGAAAGATACATGGGCCAGAAATCAGCATTTTTGGGACGCTTGGCCTAGCCACTTTCTGGTTGCCAGCATTCCTCATGCCACTGTTGCTTAATCCTTTGAGTTCTCAGACGACAGGGTCACTTGGACACCACACATAGAAGACCTTTAAAATCTAGAAGCTGAAGACTTTTAAGCTTCTTACATCTGCTGCAACATGTGTTTATTTCACCTTATCCGAACGATAAGATTATTTGGACCAAAACCCACTTTGGTAGATTCATTGTTTCTTCCTTTTTTGAAGTCCTCTCCAATACACTTTGACCCACATCACCTATCCCCACTCTTTCTAAATCCTGGATCTCCCCTATCCCAACCAAAGTTCAAGCTTTTTCCTGGCTGGTCATGTCCAATCGAAAGCTATGGACCAGCTATAAAGGAGAGGATTACCTTTAGCTAATTATTGTAGTTTGTGTTTGGATGCTGAAGAGACACATAGCCATCTCTTTCTCCATTGCAGAGTGGCATCTACCCTCTAGGAATGAACGCTGAGAGGCTTCAATTAGCAATGGGTCATCCGGTCTCAATGGAATAGCTCTTTTTTGGCCTTCTCCCCTCCTTATCCTAAGTCAGGCTTGTTCCTCTGGAGAGCTTGGTTTTTGGCTATTCTATGGACTGTATGGGGTGCACACAATTCTAGAAATTTTAGAGCAAAGAGAACTTTACCAGTCATGGTGGATTATGTCAAAGTCACCATTTTGTTTGGCGACCATCCACAAAGACCTGAAAATCAGCTCTAGGGCAGACTTTGTCACTAAATGGGAATACATCATCAGACGCAAACCCCAAAAACACCCAAGGCAGTCTTGTGGATCCCTCCAGACCATGGAATCATCAAACTGAAAATAGATGGTTGCTCTTTGGGCAACCCGGGGCCTTGATTCCTAAGATAAAGATTGAAGGCTTTTGGGCTATGTCATGTAACATTTGCTTCTCATGTCCTACTTGTGGATTGTCTTCTTTTCTTATTTCATGCATTTCTTCGTATATTTATGAGTTTTGGTAGTTATGATAAAACAACATATGGTGCCTAAACTAAATTAAAGAAAAAGGATGAAACTAAGAAAAAAAGTGAAGGCTTACATGATTTTTCTCTTTTGGAATTTTTTGTAGGTAGAAGCTACAATCGAGTATGTTTGTCAGTATGAACGAGATGGTGCAATTCTTGTTTTTCTCACTGGTTGGGATGAGATTTCTAAGCTACTAGATAAAATCAAGAGCAACAGCTTTTTGGGGAATTCTAATAAATTTTTATTACTTCCATTACATGGCTCTATGCCTACAATAAATCAACGTGAAATATTCGAGAGGCCACCAAGTAACATGAGGTAAGCGATCTTTTTTCATGCTAGCTTTTTAGAATGGAGTCATTCCCTTCAAATTTTTTCCATGCTACCAAAATTGGTTTCCATCCAATTATGACATTTGGTAAATGCTATCACTTTGGATGGGGCTATTCCCTTTATTGTAGGTCAATTTATAAACCAATCTTTTAATACCTAAGATTCCCAAATATGGTTCGTGAGATTGAAAACCACTCTTCTTTTTCTCATGAGAAAATTCAAAAGATATTTAGAAAAGTTCAAAACTTCAGTTACTAAGAAAATGTAGTATTAAATGAGCTACGTTCTGCCATTTTGGATGCTCCCTTACCCCAACGCTGGAGTTTCTGGTTTGGTCAATGGTAGACTTACCAAGTCTAGACATTCGTGTGTTTATAGAGTTCCAAACTTAGGGGGTCTACTTGACTCAGGTGCTTCTCAAGTGGGTGTGTAAGATTATTTGACATGGTTAAAATGGAAGTACTAATTCATTGTTGGCAATGTGTGACTGCATAAACTAGATCGAAATAATGAATTGATGATATGAAGTAATGGAGAAAGGATTAAGGATCACAATGTAATTCTCCAACTTGGGATGTTTGCGATCAATGATGCCCTAGGTTAGCTTTTGAAAAGGAACTTCTGAAATTTGTAAAAACAGAATCTATTATGCGAATGCCAAATATGAGAAAACTTAAAAGAAGAAAAGAAAAGAAAAGAAAGTTAAGAAGAATGAGTGTGTGTTGTTTACAATGTCATTTATTTATTTTGGTTCAAATGAGAGAGAAAAAAAGGTTGAAACCAGGATTTGGAAACTTGGCGAGTCGAACTGAACTCGCCCGGTTCGACTCGGGAATCGGCACACCCGTGCCGGTTTCACTGCGATATCGGGAATCGCCCGTGTCTAGAGAGAACTGGGCGATTCCCAACAGTGAATCGTCGAGTCGGACCGGTTCTCAACAGTGACTCGCCCAAGAACATAGGCTGCACAGTGTTCTTCACGATTTTCATGGTTTTTTGTCATTTTCTTATCATTTTTCATCTTTTTCAGCTTTATAATTAAATCTTGCAGGCTTTAATTTAAATTTTTTAGCCATTTCAGTCAATAAAAGGCGGTAAAAATTACCGATTTTGATCACAAAATTTTGGATCTGTGAAGAACGAAGCGTGAGTTTTAGGGTTCCGCCATTTCTTTGATTTCAAGCAAAAGAGGGCATCATTTTTTATAAAATCTGAGGGTTATCGATCGTAAGAGTGTTGTTCAGAAGTTTTTGTTCATAATTTGTGAGTATTTTGGACGATTACATATCAAATTTGAATTTGAAGCCACGGGTGCACGAAAAACAGGTAAGAAGTGCGTTTTTTTTTTTCTTGCCATTCTATCAAATTTACTCAATATTTTGCAAATAATGTGTTAAATTTATAGGATTTTGATTCCTTATAGTGTTGTTTATCATCACATGTATTCAATTTGATTTTATTTATTCAATTGGAGCTTGATTTTTGAGAAAAAAAGACTGATGTCTGTGAAGAAAAAATTGATTGCCGTTTTTTTTTTTTGTCCGCCATTCTATCAAATTTACTCAATATTTTGTAAATAATGTGTTAAATTTATAGGGTTTTGATTCCTTATAGTGTTGTTTATCATCACATGTATTCAATTTGATCTAATTTATTAAATTTGAGCTTGATTTTTGAGATTGAATAACTGATGTCTGTGAAGAACTGCTTTTTTTTTGTTCTTTTTCCTCAATTCAATCGATTTTATTTAATTTTTTGATAATGTGTTAAGATTATAGGGCTTTGATTCCTTATAGTATTGTTTATCAAAACATGTATTCAATTTGATGTAATTTATTCGATTTGAGGCGGATTTTTGAGTTGGAATGACTGATGTTAGGTGGGTCTGTGAAGAACTGAGTTTTTTTTTTAAAAAAAAAATTCATGATCAATTTGTTTGAAAAATCGTGATTTTCTAAAAAATTGTAAAAATCGTGACCAGGTTTTGATTATCATGAGGAATTAAACAGTATTTTTAATTTTTATTGTTAAAGTTTTAGTGCAAAAAATTGCATGTTAGATTATTTATGCAAAAAAAGACATGTTATTATATTTTTAAAGCAAAACTGTATTTTTTAATTTGTTGTTAATGCCAAAAAATACATTAACAAATACATGATGTTAAACTGTATTATAGTTTTAAGCAGTGTTGCATTAAAAATGTATTTTTAATTTTTAATGCAAAAATACATGTTGTTAAACTATTTTATCATGAGGAATTAAAGTGAATATCATAGTTAAAAAATTGTGGCATGTATGATAATTATATTATCTTGCATTTTTCAATTTTATTATTAAATTTTTAGTGTAAAAAATGTATGTTGATACATAAATTGAATATATATTCTTGATTATTGAGTTGTAGCCATGTTTGGAGCTAGCATTTTTTATTATATTATCTTGCATATTTGTAATTGAGATGTAGGACTATTTGTGATCATTTTAATTGAGTTGGGATTGTGCCCACTATATCATTGTAAATTTATTTGTGGCATTGTGAATGACTATATCATTGTTAATGTTTTTTGTGTCAAATATACGTGTAGTGGCATTATAGATGACTATATTATTATAAATTTTTTTCTCAGTAGGAACTAATTCATGTTTATCAAAATAAAGATTTGTGACGAGTCCATCTGTACTGGCATTGTGAATTACTATACCATTGTAAATATATTTTTTATTGATAATATATCAATGTAAATTTTTTGTTCTATATGTAGCGCCTGATATAGGCTATTTCTATCTATAATGTTGCATAAATAAATTAGTTTTGCCAGTAGGAACTAAAATATTTTTATCAATAGAAGTATTTTGCATTAACAACAAATATAACTTCATGAACTACCCCTACATATTATCACTACGCATGGTGATTATTTTTCATGTTGAATTGTTAGGTTAATTTTTAACCCTTTACATATTAAAACAGTTGAACCATGGCAAGATCTACGGAGGACCTTACATGGCAACTTGGGGTCAAACTTGATCCCAGCAAAAAAGACAATTATTTGCAATTACTGCCAAAGAGTGATAAGTAGTGGGGTACATAGGTTCAAGCACCACTTGGCAGGAGTTAAGGGAGATGTTTCTGTGTACAATAGTGTCCCTAGTAATGTAAGAAAGCAGATGGCGGCATTTTTCAAGGCTACCAAAGGTAAAAAAATTACAAAGCAGAGGCTGGATGAGGAGATAGCTAGTTTATATACGTCATCAAGCTGGAATGATCCAAAAGAGCAATATAATAATGACTTGGAGATGGCCACAAGGATGAGTTTACAAGAAACATACCATAGGGAACACGGGTTTAGAATGCCTGGTAGTTATGACGTGGGCATGCATGGTGGGCCTAGCTCAGATGTGCATGGTGGGCCCAGCTCGAGCATGTATGGCGGGCCCAGCTCAAATATGTATGGAGGGGTTGATGGCAATATGTATCAAGAGGAATCAAACGTTGAAGAAATTGTTTCTAGCTTATCTAGGAGTGTCAGTATTGCCGGTCATGGTCGTATAGACCCATTTCTCTCAAAGCCTAAATCACAACAGATGACCCTCAAAGGCATGGTGAAAGGTACGAGGAACCTGTTGGGCAGATATGTTGGTAAATGGTTCTACGATAAAGGGATCTCCTTTGATGCAACCAATAGCCCATATTTTCTACCTATGGTCAACGCAATCCAGAGAGCTAGGATCAGGATAAAACCCCGGACGACATATGAGCTCAGTGGGCCAATCTTAGATGAAGAGGTGGAAGAAGTTAGAAAGTGGATTGAAAAATATAAACAGAGTTGGCCAAGAACAGGCATTACTCTCATGAGTTATGGTTGGTTGAATAAAGTTAGCAAAAATGAGCTTTTTAACTTCTTGGCTTATTCCCCAAAAGGTACAGCTTTTTTGTCTAGCAAAGACGTATCAGGGATAAAAAAGGATGCAAACTTCTTGGTACGACTATATGATCAGCTAGTGGAGGAGGTGGGAGATAAGCACGTAGTCCAGTTTATTACGGACATTGCGCGCGCATGTGTTTCTGCAGGCAGCAAGTTGATGGATAAGCGGAAGCATCTATTATCGATCCCGTGTGCTGCACACAGCATCGATCTTATGTTAGAGGAGATCGGTGAGATCAAAATTATGAAGGAGACTCTATAGGAAGCGAGGTTGGTGTCAAGATTTATATATAACCACTTTAAAATTTTATTTTTGTTCAGAGAACAATCTAAGCAAAAAGAGATAATCAAGCCTGTCATAACCTGCTTTGCAACAAATTACTTGGTTGTGGACTCCATTCAGGAATCTGAAGGTGCATTAAAGAGATTGTTTACCAGTGAAGAGTGGTTAAATGACCGCCTCTCGAAGTCCATCGGGCTAAAAGTGGACGGCTTAGTCTCAAATAGGAGATTTTGGTCTCGATGTTCTAGTGTCGTAGGGGCCACTGCCCCTTTGGTCACGGTGTTAAGAATGGTAGATGCTGACAAGAGAGCTACCATGGGCATCCTTGACGAAGGTATCGAGAGGGCCAAATCAACTATTGAGGAGAAATGTAGTTTTGCTAGTAAAGTGATCAAGATTATAGAAGGAAGGTGGAACACCAAATTTGGACGTCCAATTCATTTTGCAGGTAAATGTATATTTATATCATTAGAATGTTTCATTCTAAATTATTTTTTTATAAAATTTTAAATGACCTTTCTCTATGTATATATTTTTTAGGTTACTACTTCAACCCAAAATTTTTCTATTTGACACCTAAGCATCCCCACAAGATTATTGAAGGGGTCAAATACATTATTGCCAGGTTGGAGAGAAGCCATCGAAACCAGGTAGCAGCAATACAAGAGGTTTTATTTAATATTTCGGTAAGAACTTGATTGAGTTGTTAAATTTGTGAGGAATAATGCACTAAAACGAAATATTATGTTTTAGCTTGCTATGTATAGGGATGCTACAGGATCCTTCGGAACTAGACTTGCCAGGAATTCTCGAACTAAGATGGATCCAGGTTATTCCCTAACTAATATTTTGTTTATTCATATATTTAATCTTATGAATTGTTCTTGCCCTTACAATCTTTTTTGCATTTTAATCCAGCTGAATGGTGGGAGATATATAGTAGTGATGCACCTCACTTAAAGAGGATAGCAATCAAGGTGCTCTCCCAGACATGTTCTGCTACTGGGTGTGAGCGAAACTGGAGTACGTTCCAATGGTTGCACACTAGGAGGAATCAACTCGCTTCGGGGAAGCTTCATAAACTAGTCTACGCTCATTACAACTTAAACCTCCGAGAGCGACAAATAAGAAGGAAGCTTGAAGACTATAGGCCAATAGACTTGGGCGCAATATTTGTCACAGACACAGTAGAACAATGGGTAGTAGAAGAAGAGGAGCCAGTGTTGTACAAGAGAGCGTTCCTTGAGGCTATCGGTGAGGAAGATCTTGAAGAAGGTGATGAGCAGCATGAAAGAGGAAGCAGCCCACCAATATATTCACAATTCGTTGGAGATGTCGGTGAAATTACACCTAATGAGGGAGAGTGGGAAGGGGGTCTAAGGGAAAATGAGAGAGATGATGATTTTGAGGCCACCCAATCCTAGCCAAATTATTCACATATCGAGTCCCAACAGCAAGAGGGTAGGGATGAGCATGACAGTGTAGGTGAGCATGAAGGATGGATAATCTTCGGGGATTTTGGATTAGGACCACAACAAAACACTAACACTTAGGGATTTGGATATATTCAGGTGCCCTTAATTTGGATGATTCGTTTTTAGAACGAGTCAATGAATTGTCACGCAAATTCAATCAATGGCACCAGCGTGACCAAGATGAAGAACGACGCCGTCTGTCATTTTATTTTTAGATCGTATGGTACGAATTGCATGCTTTATTGTAATCCATGTATGATGATATACTTAATCCATGATATTTCTATGTTTATCCTTTTGTGTGATGCAAATTAAATGGTTAATAGTAGTTCATGCAGGGAAAGAACATATCAATATTCGCATATTCATGTAAAGAAATAAAAATTCTTAATGGAGTACCCCCATTTCTTATTGAATTCTTAAAAAACAACATTTATAATGAATTTTAATAATTTTTTCGGATTTTTTTTAAGGCTTAATCCGAAAGATGCGACCGATTCCGGATCCGGATCGTCGATTCACCGATCCGGATGGGTTTTTGAGGTGCCCGATCCGGGTCACCGATCCGCTTTTTAAACCACTGGTTGAACTGAATTTCTTGAATGAAATTACTAGGTGGTTGTGTCCAACCTCCATTCAAAGCCATTTAGATTAGAAGGAAAATGAAAAGACAAAAAGTGTGTAATTTTGTAATGTTCATCTGACTATAGTTGTTACTTGTTACAAATTCATATGAGATTTGTCATTTTTATTTCTGCTGACTGCTATATGTCACTGTCAATAAAGTAGAACGACACAGAACTTGGCTTCCTCAAGTGATTTGGTGATATTTATTCCCTTAGTGCCCAATGTCTCCCATAAATTGAACTTATATATTGATAAGGTTTAATACTGATAACATGCCGATAAATCAATTTATCCTGATATTAATGCTTCATATTATTATCATGATAAAATATTCTCTCGATAATAACATGGTATCAATTTGAATTTGAAAAGAAACATGTCAGTTAAAGAGTCATTTTTTTTAAAAAAACATTTTGTTATACATTAAAAAATGTTGTCAACTTTATCATTTATAAAATTATTTATGTATTTGTGTTTTAAATTGTGTATAATTTGAATTCATACTTACCCTAATAAAAAATATTCCATGATAAATAGTATAATGTTTATTATATTAAAGTCCCGGTAGTTATTGGACAAATTGCCTATAAAAGAGACAATCATGATAATATCCTGATAACAACAATTGTAACAAGATTTAACCACAATCCACCAATGTTCCTTGCTAGGCACTCGAGTTTGAACATGTTTAATGCAAAGGCTCATCTTGAAACAATTGAACCTGAAATCTCTGGTCTATAGTAATATTTTTTGTATGTCTAGATTCTGGCATTGGCCATCATCCAACATGGGAAAATTTAGTTGCTATTGTTTTTTCCATATTTGGTGCATTTTATTTGAATTTTCCATACCATAACTTTATTCAGTGGGTGTTTGTGAATTTCAGCTTTTTGCTACTCCTTTAAGGAGTTGGAGAAAGAAAAACTTGTGGAATATCTTATGTAATATTTGTTATTTTAAACCTTTGTTTCGAGGAAATTTGTCATGTTTTCATTGGTATAACATGCAATAAGTAAATAGTTTTAGTGTTATCGTTTTCTTTCCATAAGATGCCAACAAATATTAGTCATCTTCGAAGTCGTCACATGCAGGAAAATTGTGATTGCAACAAATATTGCAGAAAGCAGTATCACTATCAATGATGTTGTGTTTGTGATTGATTGTGGAAAGGCTAAAGAAACCAGCTACGATGCTCTGAACAAGCTAGCTTGCCTTTTACCGTCATGGATTTCTAAGGCTTCAGCACTTCAGGTCAACAATATTTATCAATTTATCATCTTTTATATATGCTCCTACACATGAAGTATTTCTTTGATGTATTCAACATTTTTGAACAATCATTGCCTTTACTTTTGCGATACAAAATTTTTGGAGCAAAGGCATGTTTAGGCATTAGGACAGGTAGAGTAGATGTTTTTATAAGAAAATTAGTGGCATCATATTAGTGATTAAAAAGCAATTAATGCTCTATATGGGTGATGTCACACGTTATGTGAATGATGTCGCTCTCCATTATAGTTAATAAATACTTCTATTTCTGTCAAGACTTTCCAAATTGCCCTTGATTAATTATCTAAAATACCCTTAGACAAAAAAGTCTCTACATGGGTAAGGGTATCAAGTGTAGCCTAACAAAACCCTATATATACATATATAGGGTTTTTCTATTGTTAACAACCCTATAAAATCCCATAGGTTGCATTTAGAGAGGGATGTGAACTGTTAAAACTATAGTTTCCCATTTAATTTTCAATATTTATAAAATGAATAAGGTTATTTTGTCATTAGAGGATAATGTTGATATTTTCACTAAAAGACAAGGGTAATTATGAAGTGAATTTTCAGGTACTTTATTAATATAAATGCCCTTAATTTTTAGTGAATATTTCAAATATGCTCTTCTCGAAATGATAAATATACCTTTTGTCTTTCAGTGTTAATATCAAGACGACTCTTTCTAATGACAAAAATACCCTTAATAATCTTATAATAAAATAACAAAAAGGGGCAACTAAAGTAATTTTGACAGTTCACACCCTTTCATATGTAAAATATAAAATTCTATGGGGTGTTAACATTAGAAAAAAAGCCCCTGAGCGAATTTTTGTAGTACTTTGCTCATCGCTCATCACCATCCAAGATCCACCAAATGGCCATGATTGTCAGATATTTTTGTTGAACTTTTTTTTTTCTACAAATCAAAGTGATCTCACATTTGAAGAGTCTGTGTGCCTCAGTAAGACCCACCTCCAAAAATTATATAAATAATTCACATGAACCCCCTATGAATGTTAAGGTTTAGTCATTTTATTTTTTGATAATATTTTTTTGAGATTTTTTTCATATATAATGGTTAGTTATATTCTTGCCCCAAATTTTTGGTAAATCTAACTTGTAAAAATAGTTATTAAAATTCAAATACTATCCGATAAATGTGGTTGTTTGAACAGCTCAGATTGAATATGGGTTGATCTGACGGTCACAACGTCATTTCGTATTTTAGTTTTAATTTTTTTCTACAAATCTAAATCACTTAAAATTTTGGGCGTGTATTCTTTAAAAATAAGAGAATCTTATAAATATATCAAAAAACTAATTTGCAAAAAATAAATAGACCAAAATACCCTTGAACTTTTTAGGGGTATTTTGGTCAATTTATTTTTGCGAATTGTTTTTTTAATATTTTTATTAAGTGCGCCTTGATAAGAAAAATGGATGCCTAACTAAAATTCAAATATGAAATGAGGTTGTGATCATTAGATCGGCTCAGATTCATTCTAGGCCATTGGGCTCATAT